GAGAAGGAGGCAGCAGGAGGGGTGGGGGGAGCAGGCAAGAGCCGGTATGCGTGGGGCCAGCTCCCTGCATGTGCCGGCTCCCATGGTGCCACCTACCCCCCACACAGCTGCCTCTCTGAAGGCAGCGGGGTGGGGGAGCTCCCTGCGAGCACCAGGTCCCGCCTGCCCCCCTGCACGTAACTGCTAAAAATGTCAGCGGTTACACACGGACACAAATGCGCGATTTTCAACATTCCTACTGCGCCTGCGGGGCTTGTGCGCGCCTGGGGGCCACTGACCACTCTGCCCGGAGCCTGGAATTGCTGCCTGAAACCAAGTTCCAGAATAAGGTTCTGGAGTAGCCTTTCAGTAGGAACTGGGCGGGGGGAGAGAACTGGTTTTCAGCTGGAGCCTGATAAGTTCATCAGCAGGATATGGCAGGTGCCCTGGGCCAGCAGGGGACCAGCCTCTTCAGGATGCAGGAGACTCCTTCTGGACCCATGTTCTTAGAACCATAGAGCTGGAAGAGACCTCAGAAGGCCATCAAGTCCAGACCCCTGCCCAATTAAATCAACCCAGCCAGGGCTTTGTCAAGCCGGGACTTAAACACCTCTAGGGATGGAGACTCCACTACTTCCCTAGGGAACCCATCCCAGTGCTTCCCCACCCTCCTAGGGAAATAGTTTTTCCTAATATCCAACCTGGACCTCTCCCACCGCAACCTGAGCCCATTGCTCCTTGTTCTGCATCTGTCACTACTGAGAACAGCCTCTCTCCATCCTCTTTGGAACCTCCCTTCAGGAAGCTGAAGGCTGCTAACAAATCCCTCCTCACTCTTCACTTCTGCAGACTAAACAGACCCAAGTCCCTCAGCCTCTCCTCGTAGGTCATATGCTCCAGCCCCCTAATCATTTTGGTTGCCCTCCGCTGGACCCTCTCCAATGCATCCACATCCTTCCTGTAAAGGCAGCAGAGGACCGGCCTCTCCACAATGCAGGAGGCTCCTTTTGGACCCACGTTCTCAATAGACAGCAGAGCCTGGTGTCTGCTTCTGGAAAATTTTCCCTCTTGCCCTGCAGTGTTGTGCAGAGTCTAGACACGGGTCAGAGTGACGTGCTAGGCAAGGGCTGTCCTACAGATACCCCCGGGCTGAAGTCACCACACAAAAGGTGGCTGGCATTCTTTGTGAACCATTTATCTAATGAAATTTGGCAGGCTCCCTGCGACACGGTTGCTCACAAATGGCTGTATAATTTGAGCAGACTGAATGATGGTTGAACAGCTGGCAAACAATGTGACTTTTCTGTTAATATGCAGAAAATGTATTCATGAATAAATTCTCTCATTATCTATATAAATGTTACGGTAATACATGGAGTCCCAGATGGGGAGCGAGGAGCCATTGTGCGAGGCGTTGTAAAGAGGGGAGACACGGTGCTTGCCCAGAAGAATTGACAGTCGAGTATGGTATTCAGACAGCTTCACCTGATGCCATTGCTAGCCACCAGTTACCTTCAGATCCCTGTGGACTATGGGGGTTTTACACTGGTGTAACCTGGCCACTGCTTCACAGGTGTCACAGAAGATCTGCAAGACTTCGTTCTCCGTGAATCCCGTTTGCAAGCGCTGGTTCATCAGGTTCACCACCTGGCCTCCTGAAAGGAGAAAGCAACACAAATTAGATCTACACCTACTGCTAAAGCACGCAGTAGTCAAAAGGAGCAGTGTTTTCCAAAGGGACCCAACATGCTTGGTTTTCAACTGACTGGTATTGGAGGATGTATGACCTCATGGTCCAAGCCTAATCCTGGGAACTAGAAATTCTCTCCCTGCGGCCTCTGGCATCTCACTTCAGCATCCAACTTCACCTCCTGCCTTATCTGTAAAATCAAGCATCTTATGTACCTACCTGTCAGGAGGTGCCACATGGAGAATTTATGTTTGGAAAGTGATCAGAGATTAAAATCAATATCTATTCTTAACGCTCTTAAGTGTTCACTAAGTGTCCCTCTCCACATCTGCACTAGGAAAAATAACTGCAACGTTCAAACATGTTTCTGATGAAACAATGTTCTTGTATTGTCCCCTGTAGACATACAACCCCCACCGGATTAAAGAAGTCAGTTTTAAACAAGCTAAACCAGGAGTTCTCAATCTCCAGTCTACTGTACCCCTTTCAAGAGTTCAATTTACTCTCATACTCCCAAGTTTCACCTAACTTAAAAAGACTACTTGCTTACAAAACCAGACATAATTCAAATGTCACCTCTCTATTTCTGAAAAACTGCTCACTTACTCATTTTTGCCATAAAATTATAAATCAACTGGAATATAAATATTTAGTTACCTTTCATACAGACCATGACTTGTTTATACTGCTGAATGAACTATTTACTGAAAGTTGAGTCCGTACTGACTTTGCTATGGTTTTTTTTTATGTAACCTGTTGTAAAACTAGGGAAATATCTAGAGGAGCTGATGTACCCCTGAGAAGACCTCTGCATACCCACAAGGGTATGTGTAACCCCGGTTGAAATCCACTGGGCGAATCATAGTCCACCAACTATTTTTGTCCATATATAGGCAGAACAAGACACACACACACCCCATCCAGATTGTCTGACAAGAAATATGTCTAAACCATGAATTATTTTGTGATGTAAATGGGGAGGGGGAGCTTAGTCAGAAAACAGTGTTACAAGTTAGAGTGACGGGTGATTTTTGGTACCTCAGAAAGGCACATCCAGGTGTGTTGAGCTGAGCACCCAAAAATCACTAGTTACTTTTGAAAATCTCAGACATAAAACCTGAGCAAAGGAGGAAAGTCGTGTACGTCAAACACCAGAAGGTGTTAAACCCACTGCTGCACCGTATGTTATGCTCAGTTTTAAAGGGTTCATGCGCTTGCATCAGAGATGACCCCTACATACACAGGCAGAATGATGGAGTCGTGAGCTCTCTTTGCCAAGGAGGAAAGCAGTGATAGCAGGAAATTGGAAATGTTTTTAATAGAATTGTCTCTAAAAAGCTTAGAAGCATTTTCCACAGAGGCGATCGAGACAGACATGTTCAATACCACTGTTTTCATGACACTGGGGGGCAGCTGGTTGAGGGTCTTCTGTCCCTTCATCATTGTTGGAAGCAAACCCTCACCCTTCCCTCTAACAGATGTCTCTACACAGCTAACAGATGTGGAAATTGCATCCATCTTTCCCCTGAATAGCTCCCTGGCAGATTCCTTTCAGGCTTGTGGCAATCAAGTCCTCATCAGAGCCTCACTGCTTGACAATGCTCATGTATCAGTCTGACCTGGGGGTTATTCCGGAGTCCTGAAATCAATATCGTTTAGCCAGAAGTTACTCTATTCAGTCCCTTACCCCCCCACCTGGCACTTAGCTTGAACAACGTCCAGCCCACTAGAGGTTTTGGGCTATCTGTGGTTAGAATCATTTCAACTCTGGTAATTTAGAAACTGACTCACATAATGTATTCAAGAATAGTGATAGAAATGTAGCCATGTTAGTCTGGTGTAGCTAAAACAAAAGACAGGACTATGTAGCACTTTCAAGACTAACAAGATGGTTTATTAGGTGATGAGCTTTCGTGGGCCAGACCCACTTCCTCAGATCGAATAGTGGAAGAAAATAGTCACAACCATATATACCAAAGGATACAATTAAAAAAAGTGAACACATTAACTCACAGACATCTCCCCTTCCCCACCTCTAATATCATTAACTCACAGGCATTCACCCCCCTCCCCCCCCGCATCCCCCTTCTGTTCTGAAATGTGATTTGTCCTTTTCATATGTGTTCATTTTTTTTAATTGTATCCTTTGGTATATATGGCTGTGACTATTTTCATCCACTATTTGATCTGAGAAAGTGGGTCTGGCCCACGAAAGCTCATCATCTAATAAACCATCTTGTTAGTCTTTAAAGTGCTACATTGTCCTGTATAATGTATTCAAATGGAAGATTCATACCATAACATTGAGCAAAGGAGAATGTCACTGTTTAGACTGGTGGCCTCAAGAGGTTAATTCAGATGGAAGCACCAAACGGAAATAAAATATGAAGAATCATTAAGCACAGAGACCTAAGCAAGGGACATCCTTAGCAGTGTCCCCTCTAATTTTTTATGTCCATGTGCGGAATGAATTTTGTTCTGTGCACCAGTATGGAGATGATGTGCAAGGCATTACCTCCCTGTTGGTGCACATAATACAATTCATTCTGCACATGGATGGTCTGCGGCAGGGTGGGACTGAAGGTGTCAGTGTGGGGGGGAAGGGCTCAGAGTTGGAGGGTTGTGGCAGGCTTTGAGGTGGGGCTGAAGCTCCAGGCTGGACTCAAGGATTTGGAGTGGAGAAGCTGGCTCCAGCCCAGAGGCTGGAGTGGGAGTGCAGGGTCTGGGCAGATGTTAGCAGGCAGGAGGGGGCTCAGGGTTGTGGAGCAGGTTCAGGGATGGGGCTCTGGAGCCTGGTCTACACACAGGCGCGATTTCAAAATAACCCCACACTACTAAGCCCGTTATTTCGAAATCTGTGCTCCTGCTTTCCACAAGGAATAAGGCTGATTTGGAAAGAGCGGCAGTGTGGACGCTCTGCTGCTGCTATTGAAATAACGACTTCCCAGAGTCAGTCCAAGTGGTTACCGCCCAGCGCGTCCCGGAGCGCTACGTCAAGGTAGAGCGTGCACAACATCGGCGCCTGCCTCGGACTCATTTTGAGGCTCCTCCGTAGTGGGGACATGCTATTTCCAGGCAAGGTCAGCATGAGGACAGAGCTTCCCGGTGCTTGTGGCGCCAGCCAAGGGAGGGAGGAATGGCAGGGCAGGGAGCCGCCTCCCCCGCCAGGAAGAGCTGGCCTAGAACACCGGGGATTTATGGGCCAACGCCAGAGGTCCTGAGCTGCAGCCCCACAAGCTCCTTGCTTAATCCAGCCCCTCTCCTCTGCCACAGCCGGGGAAGAGACTCACTCCTCTGGCCCCAGAGAGGCCTCTCTCCCAGCCATGGCAGCGTCACGTGTGGCAGCCCTGAGACCTGGTGTGAGGCTTATTAGGCAGCTGCGCAGCTAAGTGGGAACAGAGGCCCCTCCCCCTTATGCAAATTGGCTTATGAATATACATAACAAAGATTAATGCAAAATTCATGTGACTCTGGTTTTCCATTCTAGATGTGCTCATGGGGGCCATTAGTGATACTTCAGGAACGTAGCACTCAGACCCGTGAATGGCTTTATGTTTCCCGTGAGCCCAAACTGCAGCTGATCTTAGACAGGTGAGCCTGCAACCTTGTACTGGACTCCACCTTGAATCTCGTACTTCTTGATGGGGATGGGGAGGCAGCACCAAGCGTCCCCACCCTGGGGGAAAGTCTATTTAAGGAGTGGAAAGCAATCAGGTCTTGGTCTCCAGCTCTGTGCCTTGGCTGGGGGAGACCAGAGTTTCTGGCCCAGCAGGACAGGGTGGTAAGGAGCCCCAAAGAGCAGGAAGGTGGGTTAGTGGCTTGATCAGCACTCGGGGGGACAATCCCAAGGAGATTTCTGTGATCCAGCCCTTCACACCTGCTCCTAGCCAAGGGAAGGTGCTGGGCTGTGCTTCCATATTGTTATTCTTGTGTACCAGGGAAAATTGTTCCTTTTATTGTGGGCCAGGATTGTCGACTGGCGTGGTTACGAATTATTCGCCGATGCCAAGGAAGGGTGGGGCCCAGGAGTAATTTTCCTAAAAAGAAAACTACAGAAGTGCTTTGAGAGTTTCTAAGGGGGTTACTTGTCTCCATGAGCAACAAACGGAGCTAAACACTCACCTCGGCAGAAGTCCATCAGGATCAAGACTTCCCACACGTCACCGCTGCTCACCGAGTTTATACTAGAATCAATGTACCCCACAATGTTCTTGTGTCCTGAGAGATCCCTCTGCAAGCAAAGACATGTTCACATCACAGCAGTGTCACATTTTAACAGGTCGATCTGCACAGCACAGACTTCCCAGCGCGTCTAGTTGCTGTGTTAAGGAACAGGTCACTTGGCATTAGCCATCACAGAGAGGAAGTTGGTGAGATTTCAGTTCAGCCTTCGTTGGGTTTCCAGGCCAGCGAGACTGAGGGCAAGAAGTCTTGAACAACAAGCCACCCAGCTCCCTGAATAATGTGCTGTGCCTCTGCCCGTGATAATAGCTTGATCCAGTTTTCTCATCTTGCCGATTGAGTGCTCCGGGGTGAATAACCTAGAGCAGCACTTACTTCTGCGCAAGGCAGATGGAGCCAGCAGTAGCCTTGTATAGGACAAGCTCCATTTCCTCTTTGATCGGGGGAGGGCACAGGTTATAAAACTAACCCGTTTATAACACAGCTCACTCCTGTGGGGCGACTTCATTAAAATGGCTTCACGGGTTCTATATTTAGCTATTTTTGCATTACATACGCTCATCACCTTCCAAGAACTGCCCCTTTCTAGCACCCAGGTTTGCAAACATGCTGAGATACAACTACCAAAGTGTGTTCTTTCCTTCCGCACAAGCTCATCAGTAACAGACTCTTCACATCAGCTTCCACCTACACTTGCCACCACCCAACTTTATTACCCTCAGCTATAGCCATCGCCTTCCAAGGGTAAGCACAGGTGTAAACAAGGCAGAATTTGGAGCCAAAGGTAATGCACGGTTGCCCTGCAGTTAAGTCGTCCATGCATGAAGTTTAAGCTAGAAGAGAACTCAGTTAGCTCTCCCAGGGCTGCATCAGTTCTGCAGGTCAGATGCGAAGCAAGAGTTTCACATAAACAGATAAAAACACAGACAAGGATCAGACCTGCTGAATAAGGCGTTACCACTTTTACACTGGCTTTTCAGGTCTGACCACATTAAGAGGAGATCGTGCAGATAGTTTTGTTCCACAGGCAACAAAAGGAAGTGGACAAATAAAATGCAAGTGAACACACTTTCTGGGTATAAACTGAAAAAAAAAATCTAATACAAGATCAGCTGTCAGCGGTACCCACAAAATATTATCTAACGCGAAGGTCATGTCCCCACAGAAGTCGTGTGCTAACTCCTGAAACTCCTGTTCAGAGTGTCACAGCCTTTAAGTAACTCACCAGTTATCAGCAAGAAGCTGGTGAGTTAGAGCACTAGCTGTTGTTCTCGGTAAAGGATTCCATCCAGCCTATATTGGAACAGGATACCATACTCAAAGAGGCTCTGGGAGACAGACCCATAGTCTCCTATAGACAACCACCTAACCTCAAGATGATTCTTACCAACCACCACAGGACATACCACACTAATACCAACCCTGGTACCTTCCCTTGCAACAAACCCCGTTGCCAGCTTTGTCCACATATTCATTCTGCTGATACCATTATTGGACCTAACCAAGTGAGTTATAAGATCAAGAACACATATTCCTGCGCATCCAGAAATATAATCTATGCTATCATGTGCCGAAAGTGTCCGTCTGCTATGTACATTGGACAAACATCTCAGACACTTCGCCAAAGGATTAATGCCCACAAAACAGATATCAGACAAGATCACAAAGAGAAAACAGTTTCTTGCCACTTTAACCAGAAAGGACACTCTCTAAATGACTTAGCCACCTGCATTCTGCTACAAAGACCTTTTACATCTGCACTTGAAAGGGAATCCTCTGAACTGTCATTCATGTTAAAATTCGACACTTACCACCAGGGACTTAACAAGTCTTTGAACTTTCTCACCCATTATCAAGACAGTTTCCCCAATTATCACCTGTAATACCATTAACTCACAAACATCCCACTCTCCCTACCTCTAATATCATCAATTCACAGACACTTACCTTCCTTCCTCCCCCTTCCCACCCCCCCGCATCCCCCTTCTGTTCTGCAATGTGATTTGTCCTTTTCATATTTGTTCTTTTTTTTAATTGTATCCTTTGGTATATATGGTTGTGACTACTTTCTTCCACTATTTGATCTGAGGAAGTGGGTCTGGCCCACGAAAGCTCATCATCTAATAAACCATCTTGTTAGTCTTTAAAGTGCTACATTGTCCTGCATTTTGCTTCAACTACCCCAGACTAACACGGCTACATTTCTATCACTATCCTTTCCAAAGGCTGCCCCTCATTGGAATTCACAGTGGGATAAGGCTCCAACTTTTAGGGCAAGCTGCTAAATTCAAATCAGGGTTCAGAGGCCCAGAGGGAGGACCCTGGAAGCAGCCCCACCCTGCATTGAGAAACACCCTCTGAACTAGTTGACCGAATGCAAAAAATAACCAGCAACCCAAATTAAAATATACCTGCAGTTAGCCTACACTATGACCAGCTACTTTGAATATTCCAGGACTGTTCGAGGCCATTACAGGCAGTTACCTTTGTAACAGCTACTCAGCAGACACATGTTCACCAGACATTCTTATCAACATCTGTCACCGACTCCACTCTGAAGGTCAGAGGCTGCTCTGACTCAGATCCATCTGTTTGGATGCTTGCCATTCACACGGTGATCCAGTTCAACCGTGCTAAGCTCAGAGCTGCCTCCTGGGTTTAAAACAATATTTGTTAAGCCCCTCCCCCCAAAATCAGGAGACTCATGGATTTTTTGGAGTCAGATTATAAGAAATATTTTGGGGTTGTTTTTATTCACCCTCTGGATTTTGAGACTTCAAGGTTCTCCTGTTCCACAACAGCCACGAGAGCTAGAGACTTGCTTTGAAAAAGAATGAAAGGGGAAATTCTCAATCGCATGACTCCAGGAGGTGGGGGGGTTTTTTTTTTTTTAAGTATTTTTCTCTCTCTCACACACACACACACACACACACACACACACACACACACACACTCTTGCCCGATAGCACCTAAACAGAGCACTACTCCCAATTTCTCCATTTTATCTCTTTTCTTTAAGGTTTATTGAGACACAATCCTATTTCAGGTTCATCCTCTTTTTCCGGCTCATCTTGGTTCAGTCTCTCTCAACAGTCGCTCAATTATGGCAGTTGAGAACTGTACTTGCACTGGTGATTTTGCCACTTTTCTGTTTGCTTTTATGAGAAGCAATCCCATTCCAGGCACATCCCATTTTCTGACCCAGCAATAATTTTTTTTTTTTATTGAGACACAATCCTATTTCAGGTTCATCCTCTTTTTCCGGCTCATCTTGGTTCAGTCTCTCTCAACAGTCGCTCAATTATGGCAGTTGAGAACTGTACTTGCACTGGTGATTTTGCCACTTTTCTGTTTGCTTTTATGAGAAGCAATCCCATTCCAGGCACATCCCATTTTCTGACCCAGCAATAATTTTTTTTTTTTATGGAACCCACGAAGGATTTTTTTTTGTTTGGGGGGGGGGGGGGAAGGGGCTGCAGGCAGGAAGACGAGAGGTCAGCGAAGAAAGAAGCGGCTTGCCCCCTTTAAGGGCAGCTATTCCCAAAGGAAAAACTGTTGACCAACCCCACACACCCCCTCCCAGGGAAAAGTTGTTGAGCAAAACAAAAAGAGGACAGGGAAAAGAACTTAAGAAAAAAATAACCCCCGAACAGTTTGCCCTTTTATCAGGAGAGCAGGCATTACCCTTTTAAGGGTGGCCATTTTGAACTCTGTTCTCCGCGGCACACCTCCACTGCCTCGTAGCACATCGGTGTGCCGCAGAACACACTAAGAAACGCTGGTTTAGGAGGACCTCTCAAACAGACAAACTCTAAAATATACAGTAGATATTTATTTCTAAAAAAGGGGGGAAATAAATATTGCAAGACTTGTGATAAAACTACGAGTGCGTGGAGAACACTGACCGCTCATGGCCCCAAATGACATGCCTTTCCATCAGGGTTCCTAATGCCACATGACTTACCATGATCTGAATCTCTCTTTTGCAGACTTGCAGATCGTGCTCATTGTTGACGTACATTCGTTTCAGGGCACATTTCATCCCATTATTAGTCCTCACCAGAAACACGATAGCAAATCCGCCTGCAAGAGACATGAAACAGCTCATTCAGGAACGGAGAAACCCCTTGATTCCCACTTCCAAGCCTTGCCCCTTGGCTTCTGGCTGTTTTCACTGCCTCACTGATGTACGCTGAATAAGGAGGGTATTCTCTGTCACGCTAGGAGAGCGGCTGACAGTATATTTTATCTCTACTTACACGGTTGTTTTGGGGAAATAAGAATCTGAAGAGGCAAATTTTCAATTAGAAAAGTCCAACAAACAACTACTCAAGTTACTTAACATGCCACATGGTCTGTTACTGTGCCATTAGTTTCCATTATGGAGAGGAAATCTGGAATATAAACAGCAACCTTGAGACATGAGAACCACAGACATGAGAACCACAAAATATTCACAGCCTTTACTAAGGGCTTTAACCTGAGTGCATTCCCAGCTTTCAAAGCACTTTAACAAATTGCATTAGAAGCCCAGCTCTTGCCACATGGAAACACAAACACATCTCCTGTGCATTGTTTGACGGCAGCACTTTGAAAAGGATCACACAATTCATTTTGTGGTCATGACTATTAGCGAAGTCACAACCCCTACACCATACACAGCGGCCTTCTGAGGAAAGCCTTTCATCTTGGCTGCCAGGGCTCAGAAATAGAAAGGCAAATGCTTCTTGCTCGGAACGCTGGGATGGGACTAGGAAGACTAAAGGATTCTCTCACCAGAATTCTGAACGTGGCTTTTAGGGATCAAAACAAACGTGGACGGCCAATTGCTGAAATGATGCAGAATGATCAAAAGGGAACACAGCAGCATGCTACAAATGATGGGCCTAGCAGCAGGTTGTGGACATGTCTTTAAGGAAATGCCTGCTATAGTTGAGGCATAATGTATCTGAGCTACTACTCAGAATGTACAACCGGACTTTGTAATTCAGGCCTTCTCTACATTTACTGCTGTGGGAATCGATCTCCCAGGGATCGATTTAGTAGGTCTAGTAAAGCCTCGCTCAATCGACCGCTCTTTGTACCCCCATCGACTCTGGTACGCTACCAGAGCAAGAAGCATAAGGGGAGTCATTGAGAGAGTTTTTCCTGTCCACCCCCCAGCCCTCCCTGCAGTGAGGACAAAGTGGTAAGTCCAACTAAGGTATGTTGACTCCAGCTATGATATTCACATAGCTGGAGTTGCATTCCTTAATTGGCCATTGCCCCCTTAGTGTAGACCTAGCCTCAGTGTCTCCTTTAGCCCACCCCAATTTAGATGAGGCTCCAACACGTCAGGGGCTATACTTAGTACTGAAGGGTATGTCTACACTACCGCCCTAGTTCGAACTAGGGTGGTTAATGTAGGCAACCGGAGTTGCAAATGAAGCCCGGGATTTGAATTTCCCGGGCTTCATTTGTGTAAAGCCGGGCGCCGCCATTTTTAAATGTCCGCTAGTTCAGACAAGGAGTAACGGTTCCACGAGGAGTAACGGTAGTTCGGAATAGGAAGCCTAGTCCGAACTACCTAGTTCGTGCCGCGTGTAGCCGCGGGCACGGAGTCCGAACTAGCAGACATTTAAAAATGGCGGCGCCCGGCAATATGCAAATGAAGCCCGGGAAATTCAAATCCCAGGCTTCATTTGCAACTCCGGTTGCCTACATTAACCACCCTAGTTCGAACTAGGTGGTAGTGTAGACATACCCGAAGAGATCATCCATGTCTCAAAGAACTACAATCTAAACAGAAAGGGAGGCAGATTGAGGGGCAGGACAGTATAATGGTTAGAGTGCGAGGAGTTCTGACACATTGCATGGGTTTGGGGAGGTCTCACTGTACCTCAATTCCAATCTGTCAAATAGGGATAATAGTAACTTTCCTACTATTGGGGTGTGGTGAGCTGCATGGTGACTGACTATCATTAACCCCATTTTACAGAATGGGGAAAGAAAGGATGTGTCTGTACAGCACAGAAAAACCCATCCCAGCCGACTTAGACTCATGGGCCTATTTCATTGCTGAGCAGACTGTCAGGGCCCTTCCATGCTGTGGGATCCTACAGCCTGGGCCCAGACATCTATCTACACAGCGATCATATAGCCTCGCAGCCTCTGCCCTGCGAGCTGCAGATGTCTAGTTACTGTGCAGACAAACTGAGGGAACAAGGCAGCCAAGTGTAACTCACCAGCCTGAAGTTAAGCATCTACTGAAATGCTTGGTTGGGTCACAGCCTAAGTGGCTTCTCAAGAACTTAAAGGCAGAACCACAAGCAAACCCAGACCCTGTCCCCCTCAATCACAAAACCCTGTGTGATGTAGTGGGGGTGCTGTCTCCTGTTGTGTTCGCTGTGGTCTTGAATTCGCCATTGGTCTCATGGGGTTATATGTGATCCTATGCTGCTCTGTAATGACGCTGTGTGTGTGTGTGTGCTCGCGTGTGCCTCAGTTTCCCCAGGCCCTGTAGCACTAGCTGCATGAGGAGGGGGAGGCTGGGTGTGACTCACTGGGGAAGTATGTGCAGTCTCTCACCTCCTGAGGCATAGGGGATAGCAGAGAACACCTTGGACCTGGAAGGAGGACAATGGAGGAGGCAGGGTTGCCTGGTGCGGAAAAAGCAGTGGCTGTGGGGGTGAGACAGTCTCAGCTGGGCTAGGAGGAGTGGGGATGTTTTAGAACAAGAAAGGGGATTCAGGGCCCGTAAACCCCCCCAGAGGAATAAGGCTGCATACCCTGGCTCTGGTTGTTAACATTGATCCTAAGCTATGATGTTGTCTCTGGGAACCAATAAACCTTCTACTCTGCTGGCTGTCTGAGTGTCACATCTGGCTACAGATGGGGGTGCAGGGTCGGGGGCTTCCTGATGCACCGTCACACCCCGCTATACCGATAATGGAGTAACAACGCACCCACCAATTAGTGCAAGATCACAGCAGTGATGGGGTGGCAGGTCTGCAGGCAGGAGGAGAAGGCAGGCCTTTTAGGACCCTGGCACCACGCAACTGGACATGCTGAGCACAGAATGTGTATAAACATTTTTTTAAAAAATGCATTCTTGGGCACAGAACAGCCTTGTTTAGTAAATTCCCAATCCAGTATGGAAAACATCCCTCCACATGGCTGTGGCTCTAAATTAAACACATTTGGGAGGGTAACCAATTCAAAAGTAAAATTAAAATCTCATCTAATCTAATGGGGGAGGTGGGGCTGAGGAAGTAAAAATAATCCCCATTGCAAGCTCAATTCATAAATCCCGAGAAGCAAGTGTTTCCTCACCTCTGTGTGTGTGTACAGCACCTAGTACAGTGAGGATCTCATTCATGACCAGGGATTTTAGAAGCGGTGGTAATATAAACCCCCAGCAAAGCTGTGCACCCCCGCCAAAGGGACTACGAGAAACAGTCGTGTTCTGCATTCTGGAAGGACTCAGGAACACTCTTTGCTCAGTTCTTGCACAGGGCACAACCCATCTTCCAGTTGGAGCACCAGTCCTGTGAAACATAGGCCCGTTCATGCTATGGAGTCTGCAGGTTCCTTCTGGGCAGGGAAACATCTGGTCATTGCTCCTCACGAAGGGATCGGCAGGAATGTACTTCTCTGTAGCAGGCTCCGAACAGCGGCTAGGGCTGACCCTCCCGGCTCCAAGGTGGCGTTTTCACCCACACATGCTGCTTTATTGATAAGCTAGTGATCTGAGCATGCCCAAGAGCTGATCTCCCTGCAGGTATGCAGCCCTGATCTGTACAGACGCTCATTAGAAAGCCTTTCGCGAACAGAGACCATGCTGGTATGACCTCCGGGGCCAAGATCTACAAGGGGGAGCACCCAGGAGTCAATGTGGCTAAGGAAAGAGCAAAGTTCAGCTTGTGAAATGGAATCAAATTCCATGGCAGCAAGAGAGAAATATGGAATCTTGTGGGGGAAGCCAGACGTTGAAATTCATTGCTGAGATGCCTAAGACAGCTCTTTTAACACACCTGAGAGCAGAACGAAGGCAACGTTTGCTTTTTTTCTGATGCCGTGGGCGTCTTAAGTACTAAGCCCGTGAAATCACTTATCTTAGACTTCTCCCCCGCTCCCAGGATCTTACCATAATCATGAAGGCCGGCTAAAGGAAATTTCTTCTTCATACAACACACAGTCAACCTGTGGAACTCATGGCCAGAGGATGTTGTGAAGTCAACAACTATAACAGAGTTTTTCAAAAGAGCTAGACCAATGGCTGTTAGCCAGGCCGGATAGGGATGGTGTCCCTAGCTTGTTTGTCAGGAGCTGGGAATGGGCGACAGAAGGTGAAGAAACACACAGTTACCAGCCCCAGGAGAATGGAGTTTTTAAGGCTGGAGAAGCCAACTGGAGACACTCACAAAAGCGACAAAACCTGAACCTATTTCAGCTCCAGAGTCATGAGTCTATTTGCGCGGAGTAGAGGGAGAAATGAGAAAAAGAGCCGGTGGTACGAGCCCACCGCTGTCTCGTAACAAGCAGTACAATGGATTCCACCACTTTACATATTTAGCAGCAAGCATCTCTCTTTACAGGGCTTTCAAAAGGTTTACAGATACAAAGGGAGACAGAACACTTAACTCAGGCAGGCTCTTTGTGAAATATTCATCTTTGCCTGGGATCACTTACCAACCTTATCTGTGACCTTAACTGCAGATACGGAGGTGGGGGAAGTCAATGAAAAATTAAATGGCTTTCATAGAGCACAAATGGGGCTGGCACCAGATGCCTCAGAGCTAGGTCTAGGCAGTGAGCGTATGGGTCATAACCACGTATTGGGGGCCCCGTTGTACCAGTGTAGGTTTTTTTCCATTGTTGCATAAAGATGCACCCGCCACCTGCGGAGTAACATTTAAGCATTAAATCACTTGCAGACCCAGAAGAACAGATGGCAATTGGAGGTTTCGCTAAGAGCCCGAGGTGGAGCATGCCCCGCAGATGCGGTTCTAACCAAGGCCAGTATTTTCACAACTAAGTAGTAATGTCCAGGGAAGTGGGGCCTCAATTTTTTGCGTGACCAAGTTGAGACACCTGAAAATGAA